CATTTTTTTGGATGTAAAAATGTTTATAAACTATGAAAATAATATACATGAATGTAGAAGATTGTTGTTATTCTCAGAAGTGGAAATATAAGCATATCCTAGATAGAGCTTTTTCCAAGCATATCCTAGATATACTTGTGAATGTTGAAGGCGTTGTTAAGGAGGTCAGGGACTTCTGTTTCAAAGATGGTGCATGGATGCTTCACCTAAAGGTGAGAGAGACCCTGACTTGAACTCTAAAACCAGTCCTCAAGCCAAGCTCAAGCACAAGGGCATGCTAGAGACAACTTCGAACACATCCTGATATGGCTTTGGGAAGATGCCTTCAAGCCCAAGGAAGTTTCGAACTATGATTAACTGATCAAAAGAATAGAATTATAGCCACCGGATTATATAGAACCAAGGAGCTAGATCCCCCATCCCACCTAATTGCCATCCAGATAACAACAAAAACATTCACTGGAAAATAGAGTCCTTCTCCAAGTTTAATTCTGGGTGTAAAAAGAATCTGTGAGTCTTTGCTGCCCAGAGCAGCACTGATCAGGCCCAAAGCTCAGCTTCTTCTCCAAGTCTCATTTTTCTACCTTTCCTGTATAATAAATTAATTCGCCTTGTGCTGCCGTGGCTCGCAGAAAACTAGGACTTACTGCAGAGGTTCTAGTTATGTCCGCTTTGCCTGTTCCCTACATTTGGCACCCGATGTGGATGTGAATCGGATCCAGGGGTGAACTTGCCTGTGAGACAAACTCAGAGTAAAAGAGACAGCACACGGATCTCCCAGGACAATTTCCAGACTCGGATGAGGGACACTGGTGATAAGGATGAAACCTTGTGGCTGCCCTCCTGGAGCGAGTGGTCATGGGTCACGCCAACATCTCAGAGACCAGGGATAGCACCCCAGCTGAGAGCAATGACCCAGCTGCACCCGAACGATCCACCTCACCATCTACAACCAACAAATCCACAATCCACGGTGGGGTTCAGGACTGAGATGATGCCCCCAGACAAAGAATAATTATAGACTTATGCTACAGAACAGCTGTGGATATTTGTCACCAATTCGTTTACTGGAATGAGAGAAAATTTCCCTTACCCATGAGTCATGAGAATCTTCTTGTCACTGAAATTTTATGTTAATGAAACCAGTGGTTATGCAACTGGGCTCAAACTCAGGACCTTGTGCTTGCGAGACAGGCGGCATAATCACTGAGCTAAATCCCTGGCCTGGTTAAAGAGAATCTTAACAAGCAAAAGAAATGAAAAGATAATTTTCTTTTACTTAAATTCTTTTATTGGTACATTTTAAGTATACAATACACTTACATTTATCTTTAGGTGCTTGTACCTGTACATGACGTATCTTGGTTCTTATTTTTTCCCCATTACCTGTGCACCCTTCAGAAAAGATAATTTAGAAAGTTAATAAAGTTAATTAAATGTTGAAAAAAACTCCATTAGAAATTAAGAAAAAAGGAAACAAGCCACTCTGCACTTAAGGAAATAACAAAGAAAATAAGAAAAATAATAAACTGGAACTTGAAATTCTTAAGATGACAATATCTCAATTTGAAGAGGAAGAATAAAAGTGATAATATTTTGGTGAATGTATATTTTGGTGGAAAAGGTCAAATTGATAAAACTAGTTTGATTATATATATAATGATGGAGAATCATAATTGCTTTTTCACTTTGATTCCATACTGACCCCCTTCTGGCAATTTAGAATGCTTGAGTCAGGAGAAGGCTACTTCTTACGCTATTCAAAGCAGCTTAAATGTTTGGGATATTCATTTAGTGGAATATTCTGAAGCCAGTGAAAAATCATGAAGACTATAAAGCATATGAAAATTAAACCCAGAGGAAAAACATAAATTTAGGCAAATGTGTTTAAACATAGAATTACAACACATTCAAACATCTTCATTGGATTTTATTTGTGATTCTATCATTGAGTCCTCTGAAACAGAACTCCAGGTTCAAAGAGCTACAGGGCTGCCACAAGGTTGGACAACATCTATGGTCAGAAAAAGAAAGGTAACATACAGAAAACAGAAGTGAGGAACAGAGACCGCTGGATGGGTTCCAGCACAGCATTTGTCTTATTTGAACATAATTTGAACAGTTGGTGGCCTATGAATGACTAATGCTTGGTGACTATGATTGGCTGAGACTCAGCTGTTTGTTACAAAAGCAAATTCCCAAGTTGGGTTTACAGTTTGTTTACATACTAAGTTGGGTTGCTATTTGTTATACAGTGGACCCTTGTCTAATGAACTGAATTTGCTCCCGAGGGCTGGTTGTAACTCCAGTTGGTCAATTGAAGGCTCAGGCTCCTCTACACAGCCTTCAAAGTCTCTCTCCTGTATACAGGCAGATCTCAGTGTCCTCAGAGAGACACTGGCCCAGGATTTCTCAATTAACCCCATACAGGAAATGATGTGGTAAGGTTCCTTCCAGAACTCTGTAAGGGTTAAATCTGTATCTGAGACCATCTGGAAGCACAAGTGGCTGGTATTTGGGTTGTAACTCGAGACTTCATTTGTAAATTAAAAGTAAAATGCCAGTCCTAACCCAAGTTGTTTGTATGTCCGGCTGGTTGTAACTCGAGGGTCCACTGTATAAGGGTTCAAGTATGAGAGCTCCCTTAGCCCAAGTTTAATTTGATTTGACACATGTTATGATCATAGCTACTAGATTTTTAAATGGCCCTTCTCCATCAAGGAGGCTACTCTGGCTTATTTCTTAAATTACTGACATATCCAGATACAGTAAGTGATGTCTCTCCTAAAGTCCCCATTCCTCACTGACTTCTAAAACTAACTTTTTGCTTACAGAAAATACTTCTTGCCCTCTCTCCTATCTGTTTGGACCACACTTTATCACACAGACTAAATTTTTCAGAGAGCAACTCTGCTTTGTGCTTCAATGTTCTGAGAGATTTTTAGACTCAGCCTTTAATGTTTACCATTTATTGTGCCTGGGGCCCAGAAACAAAACAAGTCTTTTTGGAGAAAAATTTGAGTGGCATAAACCGTGACTACATTGAAAGTGACATTTTCCTGTTAGTCTTTACCGAGAGTGGTTGGCCTAGGCACCAATGCCACATATTCCCCTTTTTCTTTTGTTACAGATTTTAACAAAGAAGCATCTCACTTTGTGAGTAAATAGCCCTGGAAGAGCCACTCCACCAAACACATAGTCATGCCCAAACTCACCTGATTTTAGAATGAGCAAATTTTAAATATTATTGCACTGATACCTCCAGCCCTCCCCAGCCCCTCACACAAACTTTTGGAAGGAATCTGTATTGCATATTGGAAGTTTCAAGCATACTATATTATTATGTAAAATTCTTGTACTTTTTCACCCTAAACTACGTTGGCTGTTTTCAGAATGGTTTTCACTGGGTACATTTTTTGTGCAATGTTGTCCTCCTTCTGCTACTGAATAGCTGCATGGACTTGGGTAGTTCTTTGACTTTTTTTGCTTAAATTCTTTTATTGGTACATTTTATGTATACAACACATTTACATTTATCATTGGGTGCTGGTACCTGTACATGATGTATCTTGATTCTTATTTTTTCCCCATTACCTGTGTGCCCTTCACCCCCTCCACCCTTCCCTATTTACATAGAAAAGGAAAGAAGGGAAAGGGAAAATTATGAGTAAAGTTCTTTGACTTTGAATTCCATAGCCTAGCAATCAGGAGAGAGGTCTAAAAAAAAGGAATTTGTATTCAGGGCACTAACTTCCTTCATTCTTCCTTCATGGCAGAGACCAATAATTCTCTCCAAATATCTATGTTCTCCCTCTCCATATCGTCACTAGAACTTGGAGAAGAGCGGGTGATGACAGTTTACCTGCCTGCTTTAGAGCTAGGTGTTGCCATGTGATGAAGGAATGGACTTTTTGATGAGAATAATTGGAAAATTTTCTTAAGATTCTTAGTGGAAAAGAAAGAGAGAACCTGAGTCACTGTACTGGAGCAGTAGGAAAGGAGAGAATGTTGGCAACTAAAGGTCTTGCCCAATTTGGTGTTATGCTTCTAACCTTACATATTCAAATTATTTTTCTTTAACTTTTTTTGTTCTTTTTCAGCTACCAAACTGCAAAGGTCTTAGAGTCACAGCATTACATAATTCCCATTTAACTAAGAGCATTGCGATTTTATATGAAGACAATCCTTTTATGTAACTATCACTTATAAAAAACACTAGAGAAATAATGCTAGCCTTCCCTTTTATCTGTTTTGTTTTGTAGTTTTGTTTATGGTAATTTCCACCACAAAATAGCAAGTCCTTAGATTCACATCTTATTTATTCATCTTTGTACCTTTATGACTATTGCAGGATATGAATAAATGTAACAAAAACTCAACGTGAGTATAATAATGTGTTGACAAGTGGAGGGACAGATGAGATTTTCAAGAAAAGAATGACATTGAGAGAATTCTGACCAGAATCCAATAAAAATAAGTAGAAATGTCAGCTCTGTGAGGGAAAGTGTCTTGTCTATTTTGTCCATTGCTATATTTCAGATCCCTTTATAAATCCTTTGCACATGAGTTCAGTAATGTTCACTGTTCTTAACTGAATTGAACTGAATAAGTGTAATCAGTATCATGCTGTTTGCTTTTCTTACCTTCCTTGCTTCTGACAATAACCCCAATTTTTATTTTTAATTTCACACTTAATGTCTTTTACTGAGAGTTTCACACTCAACCCTATAAGTAGTATGGGGGATGGGGGAGTAGTGAGCATGGAACCCAGTGGGGAGCATGGAACTCTACCATGGAGCTACATTCTCAGCCTTTTTTTCTTAAATTTTTTAAATTTTGAGACAGAGTCTCCCTAAGCCACAAAGTTGCCCAGGCTGAAATCCTCCTGCCTTAGCCTCCCTCAGTGCCAAGATTGTAGGCATTTGCTACCAAGCTTGGCTTAAGTACCACATGTGACCAAGATATAAGCAACCAATACACTGCATTGCTCTGGCCCCAATTATTGTTCCAGCAGGAAATTTGTCCATTTGACAAATATTTATTGAGTATCTGTTTTACATCAGCCACTACTGCAGGCACTAGAGATACAGCACAAAATAAAATGCTAAGGCTTCTGCCTTATATGTGTAAACACACACATATATAAACATTTTTATATATTTCCTCACATAAGAACACATGTATGCAGGTCTGCATGTATATACAAGTAGTAATCAAAACTGTGGTGAAAAATGGTGAATATTTGGGAAAGGAGTAAATGTGTGGGAGAGACCACCAGTTCAGCGTTGGTGTCTGTGAGACAGCATAGGCAGGTTCCCGCTGAGAAGGGGAATATGTGGCTGGAACTCTGAAGGGAGACCTGGAAGACAAAAATTGCTGGTCAACATGGAGCTAGTAATTCAGGAAAGGAGAATAAATCAATACCAAAAGGGGCCCCGGTGGCTTAATCTCCAAAATTTATAAGGAAGCCCTACAACTGAATACTAATAATACTAATAATAATAATATTTTAAAGTGGGCTAATAAATAGACATTTCTCCGAACAAGACATACAAATGAAAAAAATACTCAACATCCCACTAATAATTAGCAAAATGCTAATAAAAATCACCATAATCATCTCACACCTGTTAGGATGGCTGTTAACAAAAAGATAGATAATAAGTGTTGCTGAGGAAGTGGGCAAACTGGACCCCTTGAATACTGTTGGTGAGAATGTAAAATGATGTGACCACTGTGGAAATAGTATGGAGGTGTTAAGTTAAAAATAAACTAGTATATGATCCAGCAATACTACTCCTGGGTGTACAACCAAAAGAACTGAAAGAAGGATCTTGAAAGATATTACATCCCCAGTTTCATTGCAACACTATTCACAAAAAAATAAGATGTTGAAACAACTAAATACCCATGGGTAAAAACATACAATAGAATCCTATTCTACACTTAAAAGAAGGAAATTCTATAATATTCAACATCATGAATGAAACCTGAGGACATTATACTAAGTGAAATAAACCAGTCACAGAGACAAATACAGCAGGATTCCACTTATATTTGATGTCCAAAACAATCAAATTTAAAATGTATGCCTATAATGTATCAAGACGTCATATTGAACGATTATTATGTCAAAATCTCAAATTTTAAATAACTAATATAATGGTCAAATTCCCAGAACCACAGGAAAGTGTTTGCCAGGCGAGCTCAGGGGAGGAGGAGATAAGGAGTTCCTAGTAATAGGAAGAAAGTTTCAGTCTGGTAAGACGGAGCTTTCCAGAGATCTGTAGTACCATACCGTGCCTATAGTCAGCAATGCTGTATTGTTGTACACTTAAAATTTGGTAAAAATGGAAATTTTATGTTAAGTATTGTTACCAAAGTAAAAAGCAAATTTAAGGTGGGGATGAGGGGGTGTCAGGAACCTAGAAAAATCTTAAAGAATGTTCATATTTAAGAAGCCATAAAAGGAAGAGTTGCAGAGCGCTTATTTTGGCTACGTGGAAAGAAAGCACTTCAAGAACGCCCCCGGAGAAGCAGGGCTAGAAGGTCTAAGGCACTGCTGGAGTTTTCAGAACTAAAACTCACAACTCAGTTGGAGTCACGGCTCCACGCTGCTATAGCGTGACGAACAGCGTCATCTAGTGGAACACGGAATGAACAGGCGTGAGATTACTGGTTTTCTTGATTGTTGATGATCAACATTGGTTTGAGATGGAGTAAACAATAAGAGATTAGTATTTTATAGAGGAAAAACGGGCCACCAGAAACTACGTTTGATTGATCCACAGATCATGCCAGTTTTGCAGTGGCAGCTAGGATTAGGAAGCTGGACTATCAATTCCCAAGCCAGTACCCTCATTCTGTTCCCCGGAGCTTTGTGACTTGGCTGTGGCCTTGGGGTGTCCCTACCTAAGGCCTACAGAGATTTGTCAAGTCCCCTCTCCCTGTTTTGTAGAGTGCTCACTGTCTTCCCTCTGAGTTCCTGGTGACCTGTGTGTGGCTCAGAATCTCTCTCCAGTCAATTCTGCTCCTCAACTCTGTCCTAAGCCTCTTCACTTATTCAGGCCTGGTTCTGCCCAGGACCTGGAAACAAACCCTTTCTGTGGTATCACGGTTGAGATAACAGCCATAATAGCCAAGCGTTAGCCAAGACAGCACCTCAGTGGAGGCCAATAGGGAAAGGAAGGAATCGGAACACTTCAAAACCCTTTTCTTCACAGTATTTTGGCTATTCCACCACATTTCATAGAGTGTCTAAGCATATAAATTAATCTTCCAAACCAGGACACTTTGAATAGCTTGTATCTGTGCCTACCATTAAAATGGGAGAGGCGGGGATTTAGCTCAGTGGTGCCCCGTGTGCCTCACAAGTACAAGGTCCTCAATTCGATCCTCAGTACTGCAAAATGAAAAAAATTTCTCTAAATTGATTATTTAAAAATAACACAAACATAAGGAGAATCACTATTCTTGTATTATTGCAACAGTGTTTTAGAAATACTGATCTCTAAGTTTGTTACTATCATTTTCCTTAAAAATCTAGGTTTTAAATATGAGGTATTGTTTTTAATTCATAAAATTGCCAGATATCTTCTTCAGAGTTGCATTTTACGATTAATAAAATTGAAGTTGTTGAGAAAACAGCCTCTCTACAAGTTCTGGAGGACATATTCAGCCTAGAGTATTCTATTTTATGAGGGAAAATCAAAACTCTTCTTATTTAAAAAATAATCCAGCTCCAATATTGTCACAGGTATACAGTCTCTGCGCTTCTATTCAGGGAACATTTCTTCAACAATCCAGAATTTGTCAAAGTTATCTTTATTTATGACAGAAAATTGACAGATTATTTTCTATTTATGATTTGCAAAATCCAATTTAGATTATGTTAACTTGAAGACCTTCGTTTCATGCTATTCTGGTAAAAATAAATAATGCATCTAACTAAAACTATAAGTTCTGTCAAAAGAGTCATCTCATAAATTGAGATTCCCCTAAATGCAGGTAAAGGATTCAAAATTAAATCTTGTACATGTTGGAGCAATTCTTATTTCTAAATTTGTTCTGCTTCCCTCCTTTTTTTCAGTAATTAGTTTAAATGTCTTCCTGTCTACAAACTTTTTTATTTTCAGTAATTGCAAGTAGCTAACAACACCAAATTCTGAGGTCTTGGGGCACCCCTCTCTGAATGGTTTAGAGGCTTCAAGCTGATTTTTAACAAAATGTCACCAGATGGGGTCCAAAAAGGTCTCCCTAAAGAAGAGATAGGGACTTACTTAAAGGTGGTCAGGGTAGGTTCTTGACATTTTATTGCAGGAAAGCATTTCAGGACACATCAGTGTCAGTGAGAGGCAAAGGTTGATTATTCGCCAGAGTTTAAGAGAAAATGGGAAGGGACTTCAGCTTGAAGAACTGAAGGAGGCAGGGCTCTGAGGGGAGGAGCAGGATGGCCTCTTAACAAAGGAACAAGGCCAGTCTTTCATGGAGTAGTTGAAATGGGCCTGAGTCTAGTTGATCATTATCTCAATGCTGGCTTTGTAAGACTGTGGGGATCCTTGCCATATCCAACAGAGTCAAAGCCTGCTCTGCTAACTCTGAGAATCAGAACATCTTGAAGATGGGATGTTTTCCCAACTCAGGCAGAGAGGGGCCTTATGGGGAAAGCAAGGAAGCTCCTTAGGGGACAATCAGATAAAAGTCAATGATTCGGCCAAATTGTCACCACGCCTTGCTAACTTGAAAACATCTGCCCTCAGCAGAACACTTTGCCTTTATTGTTCCTTAATAAATCTGGGAGTTTGAGTCAGTTTGGGGCTTCATTTCAGTGAAGCCACCTCACCCCCTGACAAAGATATACTCTGTCTCTCACATTTTTCATTCATCTCTATCAGGGTTTGCTGGCCCAAACCCAGCATAAGATGGCTCTGCAGAAGAAGTCCTGATTCCTTGAAGGAGCGATCAAATATCCATGAAATAATTTTTTCTATTTAAGGAAGTCTCAGTTTTGTAGAGGCTCTCCTGGGATCCAAAGTGGCCATAGACTCCTGGTGCCCACTGATAGTTGAATGTTCCTGTAAATCTCTTATTTTGATGTTCTCAGTCTGGAAGGGGGATGAGACAAGTTACATAAATTTAGGGCTAATCAACTTTGTATTGCCAGTGTTTAGGCAGTGTTATGGCTTGTGTTTAGATGTCCCCAAACCCTCATGCTTTTTCTGAGATGGCTGAATCTAGATTGTGTAATTGATTCATGGTGAGGTTAGACCCCAGGGAACTAGGATTAAGGGCATGAGTGTTACCCACCCTAAGTAGTCTGAATAAAATAAAAGGGGCAGAAAGACTCGGTTAAGGTCCCTTGTTGCTGCTACTGCAGGTGTTCCATGAACTGTAGCAGTTCTGCCATCCTGCCTTAGAGCCAGCCAATTATGGACTGAAACCTCTACAAACTGTGAGCTAAATAAACTCTTCCCCCTTTTACTTCGAGTGTCAGGTACTTTGTCTTAGCAACTAGGGAAAAGTAACTAAGACAGACAGATACACCCTCAATGATTAATCTTTCTGTATGCAGAGCTAAGCGGGGATGTGACCCAACATTTAGGTTAATAAAGGAGACAGACAGCTTTGTTCTGTGTTGTTTCTCACTGGATATTTGTAGGCCCAAGAGAAGGGTCACTGGATGGCTGTTTTGTTTTATCAGAAACAGCTTTCAATAACTGATTACCTCAGAAGAAAACACAAATGAGGCTTTTAATGAGTAATAGATAATAAGCTCAGGAGCCTACTTGCTCTTTATCACCATGGTGGGTCTGTCTCAAAAAGATAAAGAACATTTTTACTGAAAACAATAAAACCTTAATACTACTGCAGGATATGAATTGGTTTACAGTACAGTTTCTCAGAGATTCAAACATTTCTAAAATCCAACTGAGTATTGGCTAGAAATGCTTTATGAAAACTCTAGTTATTTTATTTACATTTAAAATTTGTAAAATTTTGCAACTTCTATTTTGGTAAAGTAAAACAAGATATTTCTACACCATTATGAATTTTATGAGCCCTATGACTTATTTTATGTCTATTGTTGATTAATGGGTCTTTTACATTTTAGCAAGTTGCTTTCATTATAATATTGAAGTTACCAAATTTTCTATATATGCTATTACTATAACAATATATAATTCCTCTTCTTGGTATCTCCCTAAAGAATTAAAAGCATCATATCATAATGATATATACACACTCATATTTATAGCAGCACAGTTTGAAATAGCTAAATCTTGGAAACAGCCCAAATGTCCATCAACTGACAAATAAAGATGTCATTTTTTTCTACAATGGAGTACTACTCTGCCATAA